CTTCCTGCAAGTGTTTAAAGGGTATATCTACGACCAAAAATCATACTACTTCATTATGAAAAAGAAAAATTGCTGTATCTCCATTGGTTTAGATTCAGAGATCAATTTAATTATATTGCTCTAAGCTATTCCCATAAAGAAGTGAGAAAATCTGTGCCTGTAGCAAATTTGTGTCTTTGTAGTGGTATGACTGTCCAGACAGATGGGCTTTTACTTGCATAAAATCAGTTGTGGCCTTTATTTTGGTGAAGACTAACATTCACAGTGGGTTGAATTAATTGGTAAAACACGCAAGTGCAGACTGGCTGTAAGCAGCGCTGAGGAGTTGCCATGTGCTTGGCTGAGTTTGCGCATGCTTGTGGAGCATCTTCTGCATCACAAGTGACACCCCTTGCTCATGATGTTCTTTATTGTTCAGATTTTCGAGCAAAACCATATTCCAGTCCTGTGATGGGTGTGGGGTCCCTTGCTGGGTTTTACATGCTGAGGCATGCTTGGTGCAGGGCTGGCTGGCCTCACCAGCTCACATGGCCTTGGATTGCCAGGCACTGCTAGGAGATGTGGTTTTGGTCTCAGGAGGGTAAAACGAGCCCCCCAGGTCAGTGTGACCCCCCTCCCTGCCCTGGCCCAGGACATCCTGCTGTGAGGTCCCAGCAGCAGGCAGAAGTGGCGAGGCTGGAGAAGCAGTAAACTCCAAAGGCAGGTGAGCAGGGAGCAGCATCTTAACCCAGTGCCCAGAAACTCTGGGGCCACCTTGGCCCCACTGCTTTGAGGGTATTTCAGGGGAAGTTGTGATGTGCTTCCTTTTGCAGCCCTGAGATTTGCTCACCACTGTCCAAAGGCCTCGGTGCAGATACACCAGCCATAAAGTCAGCTTGGGGTTGAGGATGCATGCTGCTTTCCTTTCTGGCCATACAGCTGATGACAGATGCAAGAGAGCAAGGCAGCCTAACACCCCAAATTAAAGTGATACGCCCCCTGCTGCGATGCCCTCCTTCCTGCTAAGGCAGCGTCGAGTACCACTGCAAATCACTGCAGGCAGTACAGGAGAAAGAGCTGTGGTAGCATCCTCTCCTCTGGTGGCCCTGGCAGGGGTGTTGGACTAGATGAGCACCAGAGGTCCCTTCCAACCCTGACCATTCTGTGATGGTTTTTGGCTCCAGCTAACATGGCATTTGATGAGGGGTGTTTTTGCATAGCAAAACTGCTGCTGTTTACTTTCTCCTGCTTCTTTGTGCTGTTGCAATGCCTCCGTGGTGTGGACTGCAGCACGAGATGAGTGAGCAGGGCCAGCAGGGACAAAGCTCTCACCAGGAACGGCAGGTAAAACTTTGCAATGTTTCTTCAGAAACAGTAAGATTGTGGAACAGATCCTCCTGGAAGATATGTCAAAACATATGGAAGACGGGGAGGTGATCAGAGACAGCCAACATGGCTTCAGCAGGGGCAAATCATGCCTGACTAATCTAGTGGCTTTCTACAATAGAGTAACCGCATCAGTCAACAAATCAAGAGCTACTGGTGTCATCTGTGTAGATTTCTGTAAGGCCTTTGATATGGTCCCCCACAACATTCTTACCTCTGAATTGGAGAGACGTGGTTTGATGGACGGACTGTTAGACGGATAAGGAATTGGCTGGATCACTGCATCCAAAGAGTTACTGTCAATGGCTGAATGTCCATGTTGAAAACAGTGACAAATGGTATCGCTCAAGGGTCCGTACTGGAACCACTACTGTTTAATATCATCATCAGTGACACAGGCAGTAGGATCAAGTGCACCCTCAGCAAGTTTGCAGACCACGCTGAGCTGAGTGATACAGTTGATTTGCTAGAGGGAAGGGATGCCACCCAGAGGGACCTTGACATGTTAGAGAGGTGGGCCTGTGTGAACCTCATGAAGTTCAACAAAGCCAAGTGCAAGGTCCTGCATCTGGGTTGGGGCAGTCCCCAGTACAGACCGGGGCACAAATTGATTGAGAGCAGCCCTGCTGAGAAGGACTTGGGGGTACTGGTGGACAAAAAATTGGACATGAGCCAGCAATGTGCGCTTGCAGCCCCAGAAGGCCGACAATATCCTGGGCTGCATCAAAAGAAGTGTGGCCAGCAGGTTGAGGGAGGTGATTCTGCCCCTCTACTCTGTTCTGGTGAGACCCCACCTGGAGTACTGTGTCTAGCTCTGGGGTCCCCAGTACAAGACATCGACCTAGTTAGAGCAGGTCCAAAGGAGGGTCATAGATCAGAGGGCTGGAGCACCTCTCCTATGAGGAGAGGCTGAGAGAGTTGGGATTGTTCAGCCTGGAAAAGAGAAGGTTCTGGGGAGACCTTATTGCAGCCTTCCAGTACTTAAAGGAGGCTTATAAGAAAGATGGAGAGAGACTTTTTACCAGGGCATGTAATGACAGGACCAAGGGCAATGGTTTTAAACTGAAAGAGGGTAGATTTAGATTGGACATAAGGAAGGTATTTTTTACAATGAGGGTGGTGAGACAGTGGTGCATGTTGCCCAGAGAAGTTCCCCATCATGAGAAGTGTTCAGAGTCAGGTTGGGTGGAGCTTTGAGCAACCTGATCTAGTTGAAGATGTCCCTGCTCATTGCAGGGGGGTTAGACTAGATGACATTTAAAGGTCCTTTCCAACCCAAACCAGCCTACGATTTTATGAATTACTCAATGTTTTGTTGGCCATATGTAAAGTGTCATACAGCACCTCCCTGCCTTACTGCCCTTTAGAAAATTTTATCCACTTTCAGTAGATGTTTAGCTCCTAAGTCATTAGGCTGCACCACTGCCAGAGAAATAATATACCTGGGGCTGAGAGCAAACCCTCCTGGCCCTGGGAGCTGCCTGCGGAGAATGGCCCTTCTCCTGTGTTCCTGAGCTGCCTCCATGGGTGTTTAATTTACCAGGGGAGACACAGCCTATGCTGTGCAGATAAAAGCTGTCTCAAGGCCAGGGTGAGCTCAGCACAGGTTTTCCCAATGCTGGTTGCACAAAGCTTGGCTGAGATCTTCCTCTTGAGGATGCCGACCCTGGACCAGGGTCTGTGCTGCCGCGCAGGTTAGGATTGTGCTTGCATTTGGGAATGGGCTCATCGCTGGTCGTTGCTCCATTTCAATACCTGTCTGTGCCACAGTGGATGCATCGGGCAAAGTATGAGGGCCGGGATGGGAGTGCGGGGCTGTCTGTGCGCTGTGTCTGGGGGACTGCAGAGCCCAATTTGCTTTCCTTCTAGTTTGGACAGGAGATATGACTGACTGAACTGCTGGCTTTCCTCACCGTTGTGTGGCTTGGTGGGGACAAGCGTGTTAGAACAGAGCTGTTCGCTTTTAGGGCAGGGCTTTAAAATTGCCTTTGCTTTTCATCTTGTTCTGCTACAGTTGAAGACAGTGACGGGTTATTATCAGTAGAATTAGGCCAATGCTGAGAGCTTTTGAAAACCCCGCTTTGAGAAGCTGTGTAGGTGTTGAAGGCAATGGTAATCGTATTTATTATGTATTTATATAACACAAAATCATCTGTCATTCATGGATCTTTGAGGCCAAATGGTGTAAATACATGTGTTTGTTAGGTCTCCTGCCTCATGTAGGGTACAGAAGTAAAGGCAGTGACAGCTACAGCAAGCCTAATAGCTTGTGGTTAAGCTAAAAAACAACTTTCAGAAGGTGCTTGATTGCAGACTTCAGGTGGGCTCCAGCAGCCAGCTTACTTTCCAGCCCAACTGGGCTCTGACACAGATGTCCCGCATGGTCTGGGTTGAGTCTCTTAGACAAATGCGGTGTAAAAGTTTCACAACTTTGACATCTGGGCTGAGGAGTGGCTCAGCCTGTGCACAGCGAGGCTCTGCTTGGGGCTGCTCACTCTGGCTGAGACTCCGAGGCTGCCTGTGCTGTGGATGGAGGGATGGAGATGGGTCCTGTGCAGACAAGCTTTGAGCTGCTCCCTGCCTGAATTTCCCCCTTTTGAAACATGGGCAGTCTTCCTTCTGGAGCTCACAGGGCTGAAATGCAGGATAGAAGTGAGGGACTCGAGTCCTGCCTGGCCAGCAGCCACAGGGTTGCCCTCACTGCTATGGCATCCTCCTGGGTTATCCTCCAGCCATTGCAAATTGTGACTTGGGTGGATTAAAGAGCCACCCGCCGTCAGAAAGCCTAACCCACAAGCAGGTCCACCGCCAGCTCGCTTCTTATCCTTCCACGATATGAGCCTGGTGGGTGATGGATGCCGTTAGTCGGGGAGTGACACAATGAGGTCTCGCGCTGGAAGATGGCTTTCGTGGCTCGCCGTGATTGACCAGGGCTGTGCCTCCAGCAGCTCTGCAGCAGCCCTTCCTTTTGCCGCTTGCTAAAGCCGCTCGGGGACGCTGCTTTGCTCACATCACTTCCTTTCACCTCCCAATTCGGCCGATCAGCCGGTCTTGCTCCAGGCAGGGAGCGGTGTTCGAAGGGTGAGTAATGCATCCCTTGTGTTTCCTTCAAGCCCGCTGGCTCATGCTTCTCAGCGGTGGGGTTTGTGGCAAGGGGGGGGCAGGGAGAGGCTGGCTGGCTGCTGAAATATTAGCTGCGCACCTAGGCAAAAATGCCGTTTTCGAGTCAATGCTTCCTTTATCCGTTCATGCTAGATGTATACATCACTGTCAAGAGCAGGCGAGGAGACAATTTACCCGGTCCCTGCTGCGATTGTTGGTATTTAGGAGTGACTAAGGACTGGAATCATGACCGTACAGTTGTAACCCTATTAATAAACCATGCAGTCATTAGGTGAAAGCTCCTGCACGCATTTCGAGGGCGCGCGGC